CTTGCTTCTCCGAAACTCCATCTTTCGCACGTTCTTTGACTGCTGAGTTCAAATTTGCGTGAAAAAGGGGTTAAAATTAGGACACGTGGACCGATTTGGGTTAAATTCAGGGATGAAAATGGTGGAAAGTTTGGGTATGTTTTCCAGCGTAAAAAGAAAAAGTCAGTCAAAATAAGTGGGTGATTCCAATATTCTAATCCAATTTGAATGTTTTTAAAAGGCAAATAAGAGTGTGTACGTTACACGGCTGCGCATTGATCTAATAACCCAAACTATTTATTCCATAAACTCATTATTTTCATCAAATACTTTGACATAGCACAACTACTTAAAGTACGAATGAACTTTTCTAAATGTAAGTGGTGCTTTTATTGATTTGGTTTGCTGAAAAAGTAAAAAGTTGCCACCTCAGGTTTGAGTGCAGTGCATGAAACTAGCCAGTCGGCATCGGTGAGTAGCTTTGAGTTGAGTTTCGTAGAAACCCACCAGCCAACACTAAAAAGCACGATGATGATGTCCTTTATCCTTAATATTTTAACAGTCTTTCGTTTTCATTGTTTCTCGGTGATTAATCAGACGGCAGCAAAAAGTGGTCAATGCAAAATTGTTGATGGAGTTGCCAAATCTTTCTTCGTGATCAACCGAACCCATCTGTCAAACCTTTTAATCATAACAAGACTTGCGAGAAGTCTGTGCATTAAAACCCGAAGCATTGGCGGATTGGGGTGCATCACTTTATCTCTCTGTACACTACAAGTTTCTTTTCTTTGGCTGAATCTATACTTCGGGTTGATTATTATATGCTTCAGCTTTCGGGGTCAAGAACCAAGAGATATATCACAAAAATAATCTTTTAATAGAGATAATCCAACAAATATAAGGCAAAAGCAAAAGCCCCCCATTTTTTTTCTAAATTTTTGTTTTTTTATTGGAAGAAGGTAGTTGAATTTCTACTTAATTTGTGTTTTTCTATCGCGAGTCAAATGCTTAGATATTGCATGGTAAGTATATTAATTTTAATTTAGTGTGCAATTCTACTCTAGTCTCATTTACTCTCTTTCTAGTTTCACCCCAGACAAAACAAAATATAAAAATTTATATTTAACTTTGAGGGACGAAATTTGCAATTTTTAATTTGTATAAAATTCAATTTTTTTATTTTCAAAAAAAAAAACTTGTATGAAATCAAATTACATGTGACGTAAAAACAGAACCTCTTTCAAAAAAGAAATAGTTTCAAGTGAATGGTTTGTTTGTATGACGCATGAATAATTTAATTTAGCATCATGTATTTTTTAAATCATACATTTTATTTGATATAATACATCTTTATTTTTTCAAAAAATAAATATTTGACTAAATTAATTACATTTCTTTACTTCTAAATATCCATCCTTGTTGCCATATGTAAATAAATTTCAATTCAATTAATTATACTTTATATAAATAATTAAGAACCAAATTTCAAAATTAAAATTATAGAGTGAAATTCTAAATATATCCTTTTTTTTGTTCAAACAAATTAAATTGCTTGCATTTGACTATTAGATGAATATCTTAATTTTGTTTTTTAATTTGGTAAATATTTTTAATTATTACTCCAAATGAATAAATAAATGGCAATCCAACGTTAAAATTCCGAATACAAAAATGAAAATTACAGCCAATAAACATATTTATATATGTAGCATAATGAGCTCTCCACTAAGATATATATATGACTATTACTACTACTTTTAATATTTTTGGGATTATTTACTCTTAATTCTATTGTTAGTCGACCATCATGAGTCACATGATTAAAAGTATGCTATTTACATTATTTTGTTTCATTTTATTTATTTTGCTGCATTCTTTTTTGTCTTGATTGTTTATATCATTGCATGAATAATTATTTATTTCTACCGCATTCACTCATTTTAAATAAACAATATTTTTCAAAGTATTGTAAATGACGTTATGCTAATTTAATTTATGTCGCATAAACTAAATATTTTTCTTGAATTATATATCTTGATCATAAAGTTACTATTCGCTACTAAAATTAGCCGGGCCCAAATAAGATAAAAGGAGAACCCATGCAATATTATCGCTACAACCTTATGACGTGTTGCAGGTAGATGTTAAGGTTACTTGATTGAAGTTACCAAATATCTTGTTTTTGTTGGAGATTGAACCTTAACTATGAAAATTCTCACATAAAAATTTTCATAAAAATCATTTTGGTAGTTTTTTTTTCTATTTTTTTATAAATTATTAATTTTATTTTAATAAATTTGTATTTGATATATTATTAAAGTATAATTTCTGTACATTATAAATGAACTAAACTTTATTATCTCATTAATAAATAAAATTAAAATTTTTTTAAAAGTAAATATTCATATATTTAAATATATATTTTGAATATTTTTAAACTTTTATTTTTATATCTTTATAAAATAATACTTTATAATTAAATGATAATATACAAATATTATACACCCTTAACAGGTCAAATATAAATTATATTATGAGTGCTTAGTGCTTAAAGGATTAACAGTTAAATTTAACAAAAAAAAAAGGCCGAAGAAGCGGCCCAGCCCATGGAAAGTGGGAAAGGACATTCTACGCCGCAAGCGCAGAATAGCAAAGAAACTAAACGAGCCCTCTCTATCTCTCTCTCTCTCTTTCTCTCTCTCTCGTTCCGCGACGGTGGCCCAGAATTACAGGCCCTTTTTATTGTTACGCAGACACTCCACTCTCTCTCTCCCCACCGCATTTTTCTTTTTTTTTTTTTCTTTTTTTTTCCCCTTCGCTCCTTCTTCTTCTATCATCGCTGCTCAAGAATCTCCCTTCTCTCTCTGAATATTTGCAAAACGCACGAGATTCAAGGTCAGTTCCTTCAAAAACAACTTTTTCTGTTTGGTTGGTTTTGTTTTTTTGGTTGAAGGGAAAGAAAAGAAAATCACCGAGAAAGTTCGAGCGCTAATCATTTCGAATCTAATGCTTCTGTTGCTCGCACTTGTAAAACAAAATATCCAAAATGCCGTCTTCGTTAAGCTTTTCATTTTCTTTTCTTCTTGCTTCGTTTATTTTTCTTCTCTTTGTCTATCTTTGTTTGGTTGCTGAGAAAACCGAGGTTAAAAATATAGAAGGATGCGAAAGTTTTCAAATCTTTTATATCTCATTGTTTCTTTACGGAGCTAATAATCTTAGCTTAGGTTACTAGAGTGTTCAGTCTAGGTTTTATTTTCATTAAGTTTCATTACGCTTCGGATACGGTGTAAGCTTAACCATTAAAAGCTGGAAATGAGCAATTTTTGTTAAATGGGACTGAATGATGTTACCATCTAGGGTTTGATTTAGAAAATGACACCTAGATATTGAAGATTTTTTTAAAATGCTGGAAAGATTGGTTTCTGTTTAGTTAAAGTAATATCTTGTATATGATTTTGATAGTGAATTAAAGAGATGCACATTTGAAAATGCAATATTCTCATTTGCATGAATGGTGCTGAGTTATGAATGGAAAGTTAAGTTAGGGTATGCAATGACTCGTAGTTGAGGAAATAATTGTAATTCAGTGTTTGGCTGTTTTCAATTGAAAAATAGTGATGCACCTCCAAATTTAGGAGATACTGGTTTTTTAAATGGCACTTTCTTTGGAGTCCGCTCTGACCAATTTGTTCTTGGGTTATCTTTTTGACATCTGGTGTTGTATATAATATGTTGACTTCTTTACATTGTTTCCCAGTAAACTTTCGAGTTGCCATTGCTTCTGCTCCCTAGTTTTAGTTGCTTATTGTACCTTTATTATGATCAACCTAATTAAGAAGTAAGAACATTTAGTGGCATTGGTGATCTTCCACAAATCAAAATATTTGATAGCTATATTAAAATTATGTAACTAAAGTCATAGTTTGATATAAAAGGAGCTTCGATGAGGTCCATTAGCACTTTTAGCTTTTGCTCAGCATGTTTAAAGCATCTTTTTTTTTCCTAAAAAAGGAAAAAAAGTTTTGTGATACATGGTTGGTTGGATGTGTACTGCAGTTGCAATTTGGTGAAATTACTTTCCTTCCCCTCCTCTTCCCCCTCCCTTGATTTCCCCAGAGTTATTTGAAAAATCATAATTTTCTTGGGAAACAAGCTCAAATTTGGTGTATTAGGGAGTTGAATTATCATTGTTGTTGAGAATCAATGAAATCTCTTGAAGCTTCTCATTATAATTACTATGGATTACATTGGTAGACATGTAGGTTTTTCCCTTTTTTCCCCCTTATGAATAGTGCAGTCATTTTTTATGGTGCGTTTTCCATGTTCAAAGATATAAATAAACAGAGTTGCATTGGGCAGCTTTTGTTAGGGTCTAGCTTGGAGAAATAAATGGTAATATTTATCGTTAAACTGGTTTTGGTTGTATTTAACTTATAATTGTTTGCCCATGTCACTTTTAGTTTAAGATAAGTTTCGTTGCTGTCCAATGAACTTTAATCAGTAGCTTATCACCAACCAAGTAGAAGCCTCGCAATAATTTGGTTTCTAATAAAGCATAATGTCTCATGAGTTTTTATTATTTTCATTGTTATTTCCTTTTTTGAGTTTCCTCGTGAGTGATTTGTGTCTGTCGTAGCATTAAGCTGTCCATAATTGATATTTTACTCTTTTTGGTTGGTTAATTAATGTTGATCCCTGTAATCTCTCTCTCTTTCTCTCTCAGAATTTCGTTAGCTAAATTAGATTGTAGATCATCTGCTGCTGGTGCATGGAATGCAACGCAAAAGATTCTTAGTTCTTGTGATTGTTAAGACTTGTTCTTTTTTATATCAATTTAAGGTGAAATGTATATTACTTTGGGTTTTAAATTGTATGTTTGGATCTTTGGATTCTGTCAACTAAATAATTTTACCATGTGTCCTGTTGAACTTATTAATTTGTTTATTTGTTATATTGAATATTCCCAACTTATTGTGGTAATATGGGTGCTGGTATGTGTCATTGTTAGCCTTCTAACTGATATGATCAAGGTTGAACATATGGGCGTTTCTCCATCACAAGCTAAGAGTACAAAAGGAAACCATTTTTGCCCTGAAGAAAGTACATCAGAGCAGGCCCATGAATTTGGCAGCGAATATTTACTTACTGAACTTTCAGAAAATAAAAATCAATGTGGCTATGCAGCAACACAAAATGAATCTGCAGAAAATGCCACTGGTGTATCTAGCTCTGGCCTTCATGAACGATCTCCTAAGTATGTGGCTAAGAATTCTTCCCCTGAACATTCGGGACTGCTTCCTAAAGGTGTGATGGGGCGTAATCATACTGATAAAAGTTTTTATGCTCAAGAAACTGTATCAGGAAAGACACATGAGTATGGTTGTGAATATATGCACAGCGAAACATCAGAAGAGAAGCATCAACCTGGTTCTGAAATTGTTCAAAATGAACTTGAAGAAGCCTGCACTTTGGTTTGTGACCTTCCTGCTAAAAAGTTGCAGACATTTTCTGAAGGTTTGTCCGAGAATGCTATTACTGAAAGTTTAGGACTATTGCCAGAAGATTCAAGTAAACACACCAACACTGATAAACTTTCATGTCCTCAACTCGTTAGTTCAGAGCCAACAGTTGACTTTGGTTCTGGAAATGTATGTAAGGAACTTGGTGAATCACCAGAGCAACGACAACAGCTTGATTCTGAAAGTTTACCTAATGGTATAGAAGAAAGTAATATTGCAGCATCTTCTAATGTTTCTAATCAAGCCTTGCAACTGAATCCTGAAGATATGGGCAAGAGTCATTGTGGTGGACACTTACAATCTCCTCCTGGAGGCGTGACCAATGTTATTCAGTCTAGTAAAAGTCCTCTTGTTGAACCTTTAGGATTGCCCCAAGAATTTGCCAAGGGAAATCCTAGCACTCAGCAATCAGGGCTCCCTTGTGAAGACATGGCCCAAAATTCTTGTGCGGAACAGCATGAGACAAAGCCTAAGAATTTACTCAAGAATTCTGGCCGAAGCAGGGCTGGAAAAACTTCAAAAACAATAAAGAAAAAGTATATGCTAAGATCTTTGAGAAGCAGTGATAGAGTTTTGCGCTCAAAATTGCAAGAGAAACCTAAAGCTACCGAGTCGAGCAATAATTTGGCTGATGTTGGCTCTAGTGAGCAGCAAAAAAGAAGGAAGAGGAGGAGGAGGAAGGCAAAAAGAGAAGTTGCTGATGAATTTTCAAGAATCAGGACACATCTTAGGTATTTATTGAATCGAATAAACTATGAGCGGAGCCTGATTGCTGCATATTCTACAGAAGGCTGGAAGGGACTAAGGTGTGTTTATTGTACTGTTTTATCTTGTATCTCTTTGCCCTAATGTTGTTTATGATCTAATTGTCATGACATTATCGCAAAATGTTTGTCTTGATCTTAAATCTGATATGTTCCTGATTAGATATAATTGTTGAAGGGAGGACAAAGCAAATATGAGTTTAATCATCTTAACATACCTTGTACTTTTCACTGTCTGATGGTCCATTACTTGCTTACCACCATCAACATATATTACTTTGAGAATATAATGTCTAATACCAATTCCAAAGTTGTTGGAATGACAAGAATATAAAAGCTTAGTATTGAATCTTCTTCCTCATGAACAGAATTAGTGTCAAGGGTCTGGGCTTGTGTACTTATTTGGCTTTGCGCAAGCTTCATCATTACTCTCTAGCATCTTCCTCACGTTGTCGTTTTCATCTCTTATTGTTTTCACCATCAGTCTCTTTGATTCAGTATATAATTCTTCTCCATCGTTTTCTCTATTTTATTATTTATTAAATAGATATTGACTTAAAAACATCCTTATGCACTTTCCCAGAGACAGTATTCATCAAATAGGAAGAAAGTATTTGAAACTTAAGTGTATTCTTAATAGTAAAATCTACTGTTTCCACCATTATAGCGTTTCTAATGAACGCACTTGTAGATTGATCCCACAATAACATATTATAGATTTATAACTATGTTAATCTTACTTTATACATTGACTGTTGAGATTGAAGAATAAATTCAGTGTAAAACCTCAGAGAATAGATTTTTTGGAAACACTTTCAGGAAGAACAAAGTTGAAATGTTGGATCAAATGCGAAGTTGTTACCTTTTGGAACTGAATTGATCCTTTACATCTGTGTATCTGTCACCAGAGTAGTCTGATTGTCCATTTCCCCATGGATAGCTAACGTCTGGATGTTGCTTTGGACTGTTTGTCTAAACATGCAGCCTAGAAAAGTTAAAGCCAGAGAAGGAGCTTCAACGGGCTACATCTGAAATTCTTCGACGCAAACTGAAAATTAGAGATCTATTTCAACATATCGATTCATTATGTGCTGAAGGAAAGCTTCCAGAATCTTTATTTGATTCTGAAGGACAAATTGACAGTGAGGATGTAGGAGAATCATAGTTATAAGTCATGTTCATATATTCGTAGTTGCTATTCTTATTGATGATGATAATTTGTGTGTTGGAATTAGAAATGCTTAGACATGAAATTTTTTAATTGCAGATATTCTGTGCAAAATGTGGGTCCAAGGACCTGTCTGCCAACAATGATATCATACTCTGTGATGGTGCTTGTGACCGTGGATTCCATCAATATTGCTTGCAACCACCGTTGCTAAAAGAAGACAGTAATATCTTGATTGCCCGCCTGATAGTAATTGATTGGTATTGTGGGTTTTGAATTGTTTTATTGTCATTAATGCCTTTTTGGTCATCTCTTCCCCTATTGGTACAGTTCCTCCCGATGATGAGGGTTGGTTATGCCCTGGATGTGATTGCAAAGTTGATTGTATTGAATTGGTTAATGAATCTCAAGGAACAAGTTTTTCTATCACTGATAGTTGGGAGGTCAATGACAAATCTTCTTTCTTTTCTTTGGTTAGTACTTGGATTTTTCGATTCCTTACCATAGTCCTTTCTATGAACAGAAAGTCTTTCCTGAGGCAGCAGTAGCTGCAGCTGGACAAAATCAGGATCCCAACTTTGGACTACCTTCAGATGATTCTGATGATAATGATTATAATCCTGATGGTTCGGAAACTGATGAGAAGGATCATGGAGATGAATCAAGTTCTGAGGAATCTGATTTCACTTCTACATCTGAGGAATTGGAAGTCCCAGCGAATGTGGATCGGTACTTGGGGCTTCCATCTGATGATTCGGAGGATGATGATTATGAGCCTGATGGTCCAAATCATGATGATGTGGTTAAGCCAGAAAGTTCAAGTTCAGATTTTACATCTGATTCTGAGGATCTTGATGCTATGCTCGAAGAAGATATTACATCTCAAAAAGATGAAGGCCCCATGGCTAACAGTGCTCCCAGAGATTCCAAGAGGCAAAAGCCTAAACTGGGTGAAAAGGAGTCTATGAATGATGAGCTGTTATCAATAATGGAACCAGCTTCTGAACAAGATGGTTCTGCTATTTCTAAGAAACGAAGCATCGAAAGGTTGGACTACAAAAGATTATATGATGTGAGTGTCATTTCAAAATATTATCTTACAGATGGTTCTCTCTTCTGTTATATATACCAGTTCTGCATTTTTTTTCCCTTTCATTTAGGAAACTTGCCTAGGTATGTTGCTATTATAGTTCATTTAACTTTCTGCATGATGGAGTCACTGCAAAACGGCTTTTCTATTTGGTGTCCTTTCAGCAGTTCAGTCATTTAAAGAGTTTTGGTCCTTTCCTCTGTGATTTGTTTATCATTCTTTTGGGTATATACAGGAGACGTATGGCAATGTTCCTTCTAGTTCCAGTGATGATGAAGATTGGAGTGATACCACTGCACCAAGAAAAAGGAAGAAACGTACTGCAGAATTGGCGTCAACACCAGAAAATGGAAACGTTTCTGTAAGTAGGACTGTGTCAGTTTCTGATGGTTTAAAGCAGAATCCAGAAGAGACTGAGCAGAAACCAAGGAGAAAAACTTACCAGATGTCAAGGTTTAAAGATACAGATTCGTCACCTGCTGAAATACAGGGGAACACTTATGTATCTGGTTCAAGTGGTAAAAAAGCAGGTTCATCAACATACAAAAGACTGGGAGAAGCTGTGAAGCAGGTAAATATGGTGTCTTGTGCAACTTTGACAACTTGGGAACAAGAGCAAAACTTCTCTATAATCAGGCTTTTGTTTGTGAAAGCACTAGAGATAAATTTGATTACTAATTTATTTTCTTTTGAAAAAGTAGAGATTAATTTGGTGGATATTTTGCTGTACAGAGACTTTATAAATCTTTCAAGGAAAATCAGTATCCTGACAGAGCCACTAAACAGAGTTTGGCAAAAGAGCTAGATATGACTTTCCAGCAGGTCTCAGCTTCTCTCCGTGCAGCAACTAAATGTCACTTTTCTTAAACACCACGCTCTTTTCTTGCACTTCACATCTTAATCAACATAATTTTGTGCATTTATCTTTCATTTTTTGTTTCTTAACACAACTTCCTTTGTTGTGCAGGTTAGCAAATGGTTTGACAATGCTCGGTGGGGCTTCAACAATTCACCATCTAGTCACGAGACCATAGCCAACAATGCTTCTGAGAAAGACATCAGTTCGACTCTTCCAAAGAAAGAGGCTACTGGCAGCGGGAATGTGAGGGACGGTGATAACAGTGGAAAAACAAATTGAAAAAGATCGGGAACTAGAAAGATGAATCGATGAATCATAATGGTGAAATGGAGGATCAGGCAACTGATTTTGATTCAAAAAAGATATTGAGGAGAAGCAAATGCTCCCGGCTAAGCTTTTAGTTAATGCACATAGGAGGCAGGCAGGCTCCGGACAAGAAATTCGTTGGTTTGAGAAAATCATAATTTTTTTTTCTTTTGTTTTCATGGTCCTAGGAAAAAATTTTAACCAGGCACCTACAGCTAGGAGAAAAAGAAAAAAAAAGAAAAAGAAATCCTTCGCTATTAACAAAGTTGGCATGGCCATGAAACTCTTAGCTTATGCTGAGACGGTAACCCAAGCATTAGAAAAGCATTTGTTGATGTACTTTTGTAATTTACTAATAAGGTCTATTTTTATTGCACCCTGCTCCGGTAGGATTTGAAAATGCTAAAAAAATGTTTGTCTTAGAATATTTAATTTCCTCAATCATTAACCGCCATCTGCTGTGCTGTGAAAAGTAGTGCACCAGTGAAACGGCGTCGTATTTGTGGTTGCTGCACAAAAATCAGTAGCAGATCACGTCAAGAAACGGTCATTAAAAGGCGGTAAAAATCATTTTCAAAATACAGAAAACGGCGGCACCCTTGCCATTTCCCTCTACCCTTACCTTTTCTTATAAATAAATAAATAAACTACCTAGAAAAGAAGCAAGAAGTTTTCAGAATTCTGCAAGAATTCTTCAAGTCATCACCCTAATGGAAGTCGATCAAGAGAATCGTGTGCCTTTAACGTGCTCTTCTTCTAAAAAGCGAGCCCCCATGACTCACTCTTTTCCTCCTCAACCTTCCTTGACCAAGAAACGAGTCGTTCTTGGTGAACTCACCAACTCGCCTGATCTCGGGTCGAGTCAGAACCCAAAATGCAGATCCAAGAGTGAGAGAGACGCGAGTAGAGAGAAGAAGCCAATGCGTGAATTGAAAGACAAAAAAAGGCAAGAATCTATCGAAGAGTTTGATGAGAACTTTCGAGATTTGAAGAAGTGCACTTTCTCATCTTCTATATTTGAACATCTCCACTCTTTGGAGGTAAAGACAAATATTGATGCTTTCCTATATTCATTTTTTATAAATATTCTCTTTGCTTTATTTTAATATTTTGTTTTTCAATCGCTTTAGAAATGTGTTACAAAAGGAAAATATTTGATGCGTTTTGTAAACATTAACTAATTTTATTAATTTTGATTTCGAAAATGGTTTTCTTGTTTTTTTTTAAAAAAAAATCTGATTAAAAAAATCTGTGGTGCAAAATATAATAAAGATCAATCGCTGGTCTTTTTAATGATGATTTTGATTCAGATTGAGGAGAAAAGAAGGCCATTGCCCAATTACATGGAGAAGGTTCAGAACGATGTTACAGTGAATATGAGGGAAATTCTGATCGAGTGGTTGGTGGAAGTAACTGAGGAATACAAACTCGTTTCCGACACCCTTTATCTTACAGTGTCATACATTGACAGATACCTCTCTTCTCATGCTATCAGTAGCAACAAGCTACAACTTCTTGGCGTTTCTTGCATGCTTATTGCCTCGTAAACACGTTAACCCGGATTCCTTGTTTTCTTTTTTGACTTGGGTTGATTATTCATTACATTTTGTTATTGACATTATTATGCACTGATGCCACAGAAAGTATGAAGAGATCACTCCTCCGCATGTTGACGATTTTTGCTATATAACAGATAATTCTTATACCAAGGAAGAGGTATATATACATCTCATCATTTCTTCCGTCTCTAGTCTTAGTCCTTCCTCTGCTTTTCTCCTTGTGTTTAGACTTAAAATTTACGAAATCTGCAGGTGGTGGAGATGGAGAAAGATGTACTTGAATTGTTGAATTTTGAAATTGGTACTCCCACCATTAGAAATTTTCTGAGGCAAGAATGCAGTCCAAACGTTTTAGGTTTTTGTATTTTCCCTTTAATCAACAATGCTCTTTCCTCCGGCAAATGTGATTGCTTACTGATAATTAGTGAGACTAATGTATGTTCTTGTTGGGCGTGCAGAATTTTAATGAGAGCTCCTCAGGAAAAATGCAAAGTAAGCATAGCTTTGTGTATCAGTATGCTTACATTTTATCCTTACTAATAGATTTTGCTGATTCTTCTGACTTTGTGTGCTCCTTAGTGTCCAGATTTGCAATTGGAGTTTTTGAGTTGTTATCTTGCGGAGCTAAGTTTGCTGGATCATGGGTGTCTACGATTCTTACCATCATTAGTAGCTTCATCAGCTATTTTTCTTTCAAGATTCATGATCCAACCGAAAATACATCCTTGGGTAAGAAATCTATTTGTTTTGCATTCTAGAATGTTTATTGATCAAACCGTTCCTAAAGGATGGTAGTATCTGTTTCTAAAGGATCCTTTTCGAAGGAGAGGTCCATATCTTCCCCAGATTTTCATCTTATTGATCAAACTGGTTGTAGGCAAATAGCTGCATATTGCAAAATTTCAGTAGAGATTGCACTGACCATTTGTAAAAGCAGAAACAATAATCACTAAGAGATTCTTTTACCTGATCTGCAGAGCAAGGCACTGGAATGTTACTCAGGTTATAGACCATCTGACATCAAGGAATGTGTCCTTGCCATCCATGGCTTACATCTGAATCGAACAAGAAATTATTTGAGAGCTGTGACAGAAAAGTATTTGCAGCATAAGGTGACCATCTGGCTTTAAGTTTAATGCTGTATTTTCAGGTAGTTGTAGAGCTCAGCTTCGTAACTAGCCACAGGGCTTTTTTATTTTACATCAAGGATCTAGAGCATTGAAAAACAGAGTTTAAGACAGGGATGGCACCACTACTTGTGCAATATAATCTGATAAGAAACTTGATCCTCTTTGAAACAGTTTAAATGCGTGGCCTCTTTGTCTTCGCCTTTGGAAGTTCCTGGACGGTATTTTGAGGCTGTTGAGGAATGATGATAGGGAAGTTCCTTCTAAAGAAATTGACTTTGTAGGTTGAACTGTGCTGTTGAGAAGTTTCTTCTAGCAGTTTATGCTTCAATTTGGACGAGGGTATGTCTTTCAACTGCTGGTTGAAAGTGGCGTTTCAATTTCTCGCTTAGTGCTTACCGTTTCTGGCAAGCCTTACAACTTTTTGTGTAGGCAAAGTTGAGAGTTCTGGATGTCTTTTAATTTTGTAAATCATGCTAATGAAATTGCCTTAGGATGATACTAAATGATAACGCTACATACACTGGGACTGGTGTTTCTTGTTTAATGTCCCACTATTTTGTATATCATTTACTGCTGAAATAAGGTATACTTTTATTTTTCTCAGGTGATTTCCATTATGAGAAATTGTATAAGAGACAAAAAAACTTGAGGAATCAATGCACATCACACCCTCTCATGTTATTTTTGATGTATTTATAATATGATATTAAAATAAAATAAGAATACAATGACTACAAAAGAAAAATTCTTACTCCAATTTTGAAGTGTAGATCTTAATCCTATCTTTAATTGCAGGTATTCTTACTCCAATTTTGAAGTGTAGATCTTAATCCTATCTTTAATTGCAGGTAGGGCTTAATTTTTTTTTTTTGAGTTTTCTTAAACATCAAATTTTCTAGTGTATTAGGTTTTTAATATCTATTTCGTTATTGTAAATTTTATTGGTATTTTTTTCAAAACAATAAGAATTTTTATATTTAAATCTTGCTAAATAACAAACCCAAGTTGTTGATAAACTTAGGTTTTAACATCAAATGTATTATCTTGTTCCTGGTAATGTTGTAAACTTTTGATAATAGAAATATAGAATAACAATAAAGTTGTTCTCGATTAACTTGAGAAAATTTTTTAGAAAAAAATTAGCGGGCTTCAAAGGCCTGGATCAATTGGGCTTGTGGTTTCAAAATGTCTGGGCAGTTAGGCTTTTCAAATTTATATTAGGCCATGTTGCCCAAAGAGGATCCGACCCGGAAGAATATCTGCGCAGAAAGCAAACCGAAGAAGAGAACTTCGTTGTTCTACGCAGGCAAAAAGGCGTGAAGTTGGTGAAATCGGCGAAGATGGAATTGGAAGTAGACGAGAAAGACCTAAGATCGGCGGGAGCCGAGCTTTTGACAGATGGAAGGCGCGGATTGCGTATCGGCGGTTGGGAGATCGAGTCTCGTAATCGCTCTATTCTCACTTCCTTGGCTCTCCAACAATGGGAACAAAACCTCCAAACTTGTCACTTACCGGAGATGATTTTCGGTGAAAGTTGTTTGGTTCTTAAGCACGTAGGCAGCGGCACCAAAATTCATTTTAATGCATTTGATGCTCTGGCCGGTTGGAAACAGGAAGGTTTGCCTCCTGTTGAAGTTCCTGCTGCTGCTAAATGGAAATTCAGAAGGTAAAAATGCCAATATTCTTTTAACCTTTTTATGTAATTTACATTCTAGCTTATGTTTCATTATTTTTATTTATTTTAAATATATCGAAAGGTGAAGCAAAATTGATTGCTTGGATGTTGCAGTAAACCCTTCCAGCAGGTGATATTGGACTATGACTATACGTTTACAACTCCTTATTGTGGAAGTGAAATGGTTGAGCTTGATGCAGACAAGGTCTCTCTTTTTTTTATTTATTTAAATGTCACTTACTTTTAAACATTCTTGAATTAGGGTTTTGTTCCCTTTTTTGTATGGAACTATGCAAAAATTTACAACTTTCTTGTTGAAGAATCGAGAATTAGGGATTTTAACAAAGGTATAATTTTGTTTTTGCTTGATAATTTGATTTTTAACATAAATGATGATGATGATGATGATGATGCTGTTTCTGTTGGTATTATAAATCGTGATCAGCGTGAAAGTGGGGAAATCTCTGGGGGGAGTTCAGGCCTCCATTGGGAGGATTGCGAAGAGCAGCTTGATGTGGCTGCCCTAGCATTAAAAGAACCCATTCTATTCTATGATGAGGTGAGCTTTGTTAATTATAACTAGGTGCCACAAATGAAAAAGACGCATTGTATTTCATATGCTCTTCTTGACATTCTTGTGTTTGCAGTTACAGAAGTACTAATTTTTTTTGTGCAGGTAGTTTTGTATGAAGATGAATTGGCTGATAATGGAGTGTCACTTGTAACTGTGAAAGTGGTAAAGTGTTGAATCTCTCTGACTAGTTGTATTTTAAAGTGGATGTAATCTGTTCAGTGATTTAAATGGAAGACAACTAATTATGTATTTTCTTTTTCTAGAGAGTCATGCCAAGTTCTTGGTTCCTCCTCTTACGATTTTGGGTAAGTGGGACACTATCATAATGCTCTTCCTTAGGCGAATCTATGTGATTGACATTTTCTTGGCAATCTTTTCGTTTTTTGACCCCTTCACCTTTATTTCCATTTATCCTGGAACAAGTTTTGAAAATCTGAGCTTTGGTTCATGTGGTTGCCTGAAAAACTCTGACGAAGATATAAGCTGGTGCACCTATACTTTCTGTCTCCTGGAACTTATTACCCTGTTCAGCCACTTACTCAGGTTTTTGAACAGCTTCGGGTTGATGGAGTGCTAATGAGATTAAGGGACACCCGTATGCATTGTGTTTTTGATGAGAGTGCAAATCCTGTCATTCTTCGAGAAAGATGCTGGAGAGAGGGCACATTTCAAGCTTTATCTGCTGTAAGTATATGATCACTTGCTCACTTTCTCTCTGTTTGGATGCGTGCACGCCTCTCACATACACTTGTACTTGTGAATGTTACCTCGGAAACTTGTTATCTTTCCTCAAGTGACAAGCTTAACTCTTTGTTGCCGCAACTTAAATAGTTTGTCTTCATTTCTCCAAAAAGATAAGGGTTCTAATTGACCTGTTAGAGGATACAGAAATGACTAATTTTGAAAATAGTAAAGATTCTCAAGTATAAAAAAAATTGCAAAGATTCTCAAAGGGCGTTCCCTATAAGATCTTAGTTCAGTGTGTTAAGTATTCTAATTAGAATTTTGTTAGGCCTTTCTGGAAAACGGAATTTGTCAATTTATTTAGGCCCCCAGTGCCATATTTAATAAATTTCTCCATGTCATGGTAGTTTAGAGAACTTTAAAAATGTACTATTTCTAGAAGCTATTTTTCCCTTCTCCTTTTGGTGTGATTGCAGGTGGAAAAATATACCCATAAGTGTTAACTCAAGTTGAACTTTGTTTCTCTGCATAATACTAATATGGTATTCTGTTGAAATTTAAACCCTGGCAAAACTGTTTGAATTCACGATTTCAATGTTTTGCTATATAGCCCTGATAACCAGAGCTCATGAAAATGTTAAGTTCTTAGATACATGATTGTCAGCTTGCCATGTTATCTATCAAGGAATGTGCTAAAATTAGCACATTGAACTTGATTTAGATATCTTGTGAACAAAATCAGCCTTACTTGCTTAATGTTATAACATTGACGTATTCTAACTATGGTGCAGAATGGATATCCTACCGATTCTGCTTCGTATAGTGATCCGAGCATCATCAGCCAAAGGCTTCCTGTCATCATGCATCAAACCCAAAAGCTAAGAGTCCCTGGTAACTTGTAGACTGTAAATTGCCTTTGTGAAACAGATCCAAATTATTTTTATGCTCTGGTCATGGCAAACTTTGATCGATTCAGGTGGATTCCATAAGTGAAAAAGTCTTTTTCAATGCATTTCATATGTACCATTAGCAAGCCAATTTTATTATGTAATTTTGTGTGTAAACAAGAGTTAGAATTCTCCATTTAATCTGGGTTTAAGGTGCCATAGTTTCATCCTTTACAACATTAACCATGACAAGGGCGAAGACTGCAAAAGAAATTAAGCAGAGGACCTTTTGGAACTGGAGACCAGATTGGAATATTAGTGCAGAAGCTCATTGCTGAAAGTTGAAATCTGAAAGCAATTACAATGTGTTGCTAAACATAGAGCAGCATGCAATGTTGAAACTTAAAGCTCTTGGAAATGTCTTTGAAATGCTTTCTTGTAGTTGATGGATTAGTGTCTTGATCTGTCGTAACCAGAAAAAGGTGAATAAGATAGCCGGTAGGTCACAGGGCTTGTGTAAAATAGAAAAAAAAAAAATACTGATTCTAGAGAAAGGGTTAGGAGTTGTTGGGTGGAGTAAATTTAAACTAGCCCACATTCGATAGGGACGACCATTAATGTTCATCTTGTTGGTATTGGAGTTGTTCTTTGGAGCCCCTTTTTCTTTCCAGTATTCATTTTGCTGAGAGGAACTGGGGTTAGAGTGCTTTGATTAGACCCAAGCTGAAGAGACATGAAAAAGACTAATTGGCAATTGCGGAAACCATGCTTATACGCTGAGGTAATCAACCACTGCCTCTGCTACCACCCATCTTCTGCAACTCATTAAAATTTTGACCTACCAATTTTCTGTAGACTTGGGAAGTGGGAAGACTCCAACAGAGAGAGTTGGCATTATGGCAACATCTCAAAGTGCACCTCAGACTTCCAAAACAAGAAGAAAAAGTGGCCATTAAGACTCTGGTCACGAGTACAAAGAAGTAATTGGTGAAATGACCAGTTGCTGATCACGATAGGGTTCTTGAGCTAACTTCTGTCGACTAGGTTTATCACGTCCTGTCCCCTTCTTTTTTTCTCTCTTTTGCTGACTTGCACTCAAATAGGGTCAATGTTAAATTTCATTGGTGTTGTTTGTTTGTTTTTTGGGTTTGTAGATTCTGGATAAGATTTTTGTTCAAGATAAATGACAATTTTGACCAATGGGGTTAGTATAGGAAGGAAAAATGTATGTTTGATAGGAAGAGATTGGTTTATGTTATCCTTTCTTGGTACTGTTTCCCTCTCCCTGCATGCTGTTGCGGATAAATTAATTAGATGTGTAGAGCTTCCTGCATGCCCTGGTGTGCAAACCATAACTTTCATTTAGCGTATAATCTTAGGTTTTTTGTTTGATGCGTGGAACAACAATATTATGCTTTATCTTATGTGATATATGACTATCTGGGATTCATAAATAGCCAACTTCAAAAACTTGATTATATTTCAGTGAGTTAGTATGAAACATCAGAATTTATATAGGCATGGAGAAATTAGAAAGAAATGAAATTAAAGGGATATTTTAATTCTATGGTTCTTGTCAAGTGATACAAGAAAAAAAAGAAGAACCCACAGTCTATTGGGGTGATCTTGCACTTTGAAGAAGCTGGAAGCAGAAAAAGAAATAAACATACTACTAACTAAATACCGATGGACAGGGAAAGGATATCCTTGTCGTTTCTTCTGGTTTCTAGGCAGAGCCGCAGCTCTGACTCTCTAACTGAGTTAGTATCTGTACGCGATGGATGAACAAGTCAAGGAACTGTTTCCAAGATAGGAGATAGTACTAAAACAGACTTCCAAACTCGGACAAAGGAGAGCAGATGGATTAGAGTCGAAGATTCAAGTCGAGCTTGGATGGGTCTGATGGTGGTTTGGGTAGTTGAGGATCCAAGCGGAAGCTTCCTGGCCACATCAAATCCATTGCATCATCTACCGTACAGTGCATCGCTGCCATTCCAAAACCTGTATAAGTATCATTAAATCTTCCCACACTTGCAGCTCCATCTCTGCTTGTTTTGTGCACCAGGGAATGGGGTCGGGCGCCAAGCGATCTAACCACGTGACTACTTATTGGCAAACCCATCATTGACATCATCCTCTGGGATTGGTATCTCCTGGCTGCACCTCTCTCCCTTTTGTGGGCGTTCTGGTGGCCACCCAAGGCTTGGGAACTGTAGAACTTCCTCATGCAAAAGTTGCATGAGAAAACCTTGGCAGAAACTGGTCTTGATTGGGGGTCAGAGTCTCCAGCTGTTGATGATAGTGAATTCCCACCTATTCTCAGGTTCAACCACTCTCCTGGATTCTCCTCTTCAATTGCTTCATTGCTATCATCATTAATTCCTAGCTCGCTTTGTTGTTTTGTAGATATACTTCCAGCTTCAGGTGCTTCTTCTCTTTGGAAAATCATTTCTGATCTGTAATCCACAATTAGGTAGAGCGTCAAAGGAAAGTTGAAAGGAATGCAAAGGCTTAAAAGAAATACGGTATGGTTTGAAGAGTTGGATCAAACTTAGAGAAGAGAAATAAATGGAGAGTATGAGGCTTGATGTTGTTTTTTTTTTTCATTTATTTCATCTTATTTCAAGTCATTGACCCCACCCTGCGATGCTTTGGGTCTTTCCAGGGGGACAATGCTTATGTCATCTTTACTGTTGCCCTTATCAAGCTTAGGATTCCCCACTTTCATCTTTCTGCCCCTTTCCTTTCCTCAAATGAGGACGCCTTTACACGATTCCTTTTGGAGCATGTAAGAAATTCAGGGTTGACAAACCGACAAGAGAGTTTGCATTCACGGTCAAGTTCTTAATCTTCCAAATCAAGTATTTGCACTGCTTCCCACAAGCCTTCTGTTGTCGTATCACTCTCTAAAGAAACTAATTTTCCATATGACTTCTAGCTTTGGTGACTGTGTCCGGAGCTGATTACCAGAGTATGAACTAGGAAAGCATTTAACCATAAACGTATAGAACAAAACAAAGGTAAGCTGGCAGTTCCCATTACTATTTCAGACAGTCCAGAATATATTTCCTGAGTCATTAAGTTTAGCCAATATTTTACTGCTTCGTTATATGAGAGCTGGCAAGACAATGTTCCCAAGGACCAATCATGTATACGCTTAACCAAATTTTCACTTGCCAATTATTTATCAATTGTTTTATCTTTTGTACAGAAAAGAAAAGAAAAACGAAAACCGTAGATTGAAAATTGTAAGTAATAATAACTTTTTGCTTCCTATAATTGGTTTTATGTCTTTCATGCATGTCAAGTATGACATGAGAAAAAGACGGCACCCACTAGAAAAGATGTAGTTCCTGTTCGTGTTGGACAAGTGAGTGATTGATAAGCTTTGTTTAATGTTGAATGAAAGATATTGAGTGATGGTAGGTTTTTGTTTTGATGAATTTTAATCACCTTTTGGTTTTATTGTTTTCGTGGGGAGGAATGGGGGACCCAGAGAATGGACAATAATGGTGGTAAAGCAAGAATTAAAGATAGGATGGTATCTTTACCATTTCATTATGTTGTTTTTCTAGGACAAGAATATCTATGGAGGTGTCTTCTTGTTGGGGCTTCTTGGCTTTCCCTTAAAACACGTAGTGGGCAATGTATATGAACAGCAAGAGAAGTGCATTAAGAGCCACTTGTACTTAGTCCTTTCTTGTTATAAACACTTGATAGACTCCTTTCTCTGTTATCATCTACAGGTATATTTTCGTTTCTATGTATCTGCATGGATATACTTACCAAGAGAAATTTTCTACCCACCCAATAAGATTTCTTTCTTTATTCGGCGGTGGTGGAAACGCGAGAAAACTTCTATTTTCTTTCCACCGTACCTAATTGCCCTATTGAATGACTTAATGCTTATATTTGGTAGCAAAATGGATTTTCCTGATCCCGACTCTTCTTTAGAGAAACACATGCACCTTTTTAGTTTCGACATAATATCTACTCTGATTAGGGGGGTAACGGACAATAATCGAAGACAAAGAAGTCAAGTAAAGGTGCATGCCCATTTTGCAACTTGCCCTTGGCGTTTAGCAAAAGACCCTAAATTTCAACTTCCCCGTAGTAGTTCTGCTTACGAGTTCTTCCCAAAGTATGGGTTTTGAAAAACAAATAAAATGGAAAAAGCATGGCTCGAACCAGTGTTGGTTCATATTCATTTATTAAAACAGAAGAAGAATGGACATCTGCACCACGTGCATTAATCCGAGAAACTGCGGAAGAACCACAAATCTCTTTGCAGTGAAATTGCTCTAACCCCTAGGCCATCAGAATTAATTAATTAATTAATTATTTCATGTGAAGTGGAGTTACTAGTCATTGTCTTAGCAAAAGAACCATTTCTACTATCAATTTTCCTCCGAATCGTTTAATCATTGTCGACATGCCTTTCTATTGATAAGAAAAGGCTTTTATGTGCAAAGGTAAATCATCACTACTTGTTCATAGGAGAATCAATATTATTTTGTCCACGTATGCATGCATTGATATCTAATGGATTCTCCAAAATAATTGAAAGATCTGAAAAAAGGAATAAGATCTAGGGAAGCTGACGCCAAAGGCAAAGAATCGGGGGAGAGACAAGGGATGATTAGAGTGACAACGATGATGAATCATTGCCACGGTGGTCAAGCCGGATATGTTCATCACTTTTTGGGAATTCACTTAACTTTTATGAACCTGGTTTCTAAAAGCACTTTGTTTTACACCTAAGAATCTCCATAGCCCGCCCAAACTTCTGGCTGGCTGCTTTTCTGATTGTGATCTGGGAATTTGAAGCCAGCCCTTTTTCATTCCAAGTGGTGAAAGAGAGAAGAAAGGGATGCGGAAGTACCAGTTGCTGGATTTTCACTTTTTATTTGGGTTTTGCTTTATTTTCCACTATGTAAACTTTTAACTTACTAGTAAGCAAGAGTATGTCTTGCTTGCTTTGCCCTAACAACTATTGATGATCGGGTCGGGAGAAAAGTCCTTGATGAGCCACTTTTGAGAAACAGGATAGTACTTACATTCACTTACCTTCCACAGGATCAGTTCTCCACAAATAGTAGCCCCAGAATGTGGAGATCGAACAACTTGCATGTGGGAACAAAATACTTTCTCGTCTACTCAGATGAACTCAAAAGCCCTTTTTTGATCGAGAAACATTCCACCATGAAATCCTGATGGACGATTTCAGTTTCAAATAATCAAAATACTGTTACCGTTTCTTTTCTGGGAAAGAAAAAGAATTCTTCCTGAATGATTATAGAAGCGAACCAGCACTCTTATGTGGATGATCTAGGAAACTAAGATTCATACGCTTAAATCTAGGCAGAAAAAAAAAAGCAGTAATACAGGAAGCTCAAGTTTGTGGCAAAAAGGCAGAACCAAGAGATGGAGTTCACTGTAGGGTTTGCATGTGCACAACAGCATAACCACATTTGGCAGTCCTCTGGATGCACATGGGCCATCTCCCACTAGAAGACCAACTGCTTTAGGCAATCCACCAAAATCTCAAAGTTGGAGTTTCAATTGCTCCGCAAACACGTCGGTCCAGTGGGTCATGCTACATATGGACTGACAGCAGGAACTGCTTGTGCTCATTAAAGGCATCCCATGTGGCTAATAGGTGCTAACCATGTTCAAAACTTAACAGGCACAATACACTCCATAAAATGTGCACTAATTCATGCAAGCACAGTGAATTTGTTATGTGCATGACAAATGTGAAATCATCACCGTATAAACTTATCAAACAAAATTATGTCAAAGCTATCAACACCATTCATCCCAAAACTAATCACAATCCAAAGGAATTGGTCAAAAGGAGCGATTAAAGTGCCTACAGGGTCACCATATAAGAAAATTACAGGTTTCTTCCTGGCAATAGCAAAAGACACATGTTTTTATTACGATTTTCTACTCAGAAAACCTACCCTCTTGACTCCTACAGGACAAAACTAATCTGTGACTCCCTCAATTGGGTGTTGCACTCAGCTGTGCCAATCCATGGCCCTTTCAAGTACCTGCAATGGAAGTGCAAAAAGTTATCTGCAAAAGGCTCTCAATCACATTGGATAAGCCATTAACTACAGTTCACCTCAACTCATACTAAATTTATTGGTTGTCGGATGAATGTTCATCATTATTCAAATTGATGTTCCCTAAATGCAAAGCGTGCTAGTCCATGCCAATATTCTTCACCAAAAAAGAGTAAGTACAACTCTTAGAAGCCCAAGTGAGGGAAAAATATCAGCAAGCAAAGTAATTAAAGTCAAGAGGCCAACATATATTGTAGAAAGGGACAACAAAACTTCCCAAAATTTGTGACAACTTAGCAAAAAGCAAAAATTGTGAGCAAAACTGTTTTAACTAGAGAAGAATTTATTTTGAAGCATAGTGCAATCAATGGGCGTAAGAATTTCAATGCACTTTGGATATCTAACATTTATGGTTCATCACAAAGTCGGTAAGTGGCACAAAATACCAATGACTGTATGTCACATAAACATGACATTAAGTTGAGGAACCTTTCAACCTTTCCAATAGGGTCCTCAGTGCTAAATCACCAGCATGAGTGTTTTACAAAATGATAAATTATTTGAACAGCTAAGATTAAGCAGGTAAAGGGAGTTAGATTCTGTTTCTCTTTATTATAGTTTAACATAAAAATAAAGTGTGGTGCAATAGTAAAAATATAGTACTGATAAGAAAGAAAACAGGAAATAGAGTCTGAGAATAGCAACTTTTTGAATAAGTGTCCAAGGATAGGAATTATCCAGATCAGTACTCCTATGTGGCAGGGATCATATTTAGTTAACAGCAGTTTATACAAATTTAACATAAGGTTTTTTGACCGTTTCTTTTGTTAAATTGCCTATGGCAGTGGCAACACTCAATAACTAACATATTAAAAAGCTAGATGACTGAAAATATTTATTTAGACAAAAAAAAAAGTTTAAAGCATGTCAAGTGCAGACACAGTTAAACCTAATCTGTCTCAGCTTATATTCCAAGGCTTTGGTTTATCTATTTACTCTGCACAAAAGTTCTGACTACGTACCTTTGCTTATACTTTCATAATAAAAGGTAAAGAATAACAATAAAAAAAAGAGACCTACGATGTGGAATCATTCTCTCTCCTTTAGCTGATTGAAAGTCCACGTGCATCACCCATCTTTTCCATTCCTTCCTATCAATCCCAATCCCAATTCCTTCTCATTAACCAAATTTCAAAGAACTAACAAATTCACTTAATTAATGTTTGGTTTTAGGTAAATTAAATACAAAAATTATGACATAAACATAAAATTCCAAATATTTACTTTGCGAATTTGAAGTTATTCAAAAAATGTGAATAACAACAATTCAAAAACTTCTGTTTTGAATTCTTTTTTCTCATGTATCCTAGAAATAGTAAGACTCACAAAGAGACTACTAGCGATCCTGACAAGTACGGCGGAAGGTACCATGAGACAGCTCGCAGCAAGCCCGCACATTAACAGTTAGGTGTGAAGTAAGACAGGCCGTGGCCACCATGCTATGCAGAGGCAAGAATGATTGAACACATCCCAATTCTCCAAAATTCCTGAAATGACAAAAGAGCACCGAATTGATGTTAAACACGCCAGCATCATTTTGTAACTAGAAAAATGCGGGCAAACTAGAATTTGTTTCATAAAAAATGGTCCTCTAGTATGAATCTCACTGAACCATATGGCCTTAAAAATTGTAAGAACCCATTCTGATCTTAAGAAAATTTGGGAAAAGAAAAACATTACCTTCCGTTACTTGAAACCAGAAAAAACTAGAAGCATCTAATAAATAGACAATAATAAGACCCAAATTTTTGACCAAATTTTGTTTTACTATTTCCCATCAATAAACGATATCATAAA